TCGAAGACTTGGGAAAAAAAATCTCTAATTGCATAAAACGTGTCCTCAAATGAAAGATGACAATCATTTAAATAGAAAACAACAACTCAAGGAAACTTGTTGCGCAAGAAGCTTCCTTTTGGGGCTTGACTTGTTGCTCAAGCATCAAGGTTTTCGGGATAGGAAATGTTCCTCGTGCTCGGGACGAAGATCGGAATGGCGTAGCTGTCCTCGGCCAACGGCTCGCTCAAAAGTCGGGACACGAACGTGTTGAAACGTTGTCGGAGCGCTCGTGTCTTGGATCGCGTGAGAGGGGGCTCGGTGCGGCCAATGACGGATGAAATAGGCACGAGGGCTTCGTCGATGACGTCCCGAGGAATCCCGTCCCTCCGTAGCTCCGCTCCACTAAGCTCTACGCTTGCTCCTCCGTTAAGCTCCTTGCTTGCTCCGTTGTGCTCCTCGCTCGTCGTCTCGTCCGTGTCGGCAACTAGCAGTCCGATGTCCTCATCAGTGATCCGTTGTCTCCCTACCTATTTATTATTTCTATGGAGGCATTGTCTAGGAAGTTGGATAAATCTGCAGCCATCGGACATCTACAACTACACACGAAGTGTGCTGACCCATCTGATCTTCGCCGATGATCTGGTAATTTTCTGCAAAGCAACTCAACAATCACTGCAAACTATTCAGAGTTGCCTAACATGGTTTGGAAGGAATTCTGGCTTGGAGATAAACCCAGGGAAGTGTGAGATATTCCTTGGAGGCTTATCGGACCAGAGACAACAAGAGCTGGCAGCATTCATGGGCATAGCACTTTGCAAGTTTCCGATGAGGTACCTGGTGGGTCTTCCAGTGAGTACTCAGAGATTATCAAAGACAGATTATGAACCCTTGATGGAGAGAGTTAGAAACAAAGTTAGCAGTTGGTCAAGCAAGGTACTATCTTATGCAGGGAAGATCCAATTGGTCGCAACAGTGATATATGGCATGGTAAACAGTTGGAGCCAAGTTTTCCTACTTCCTAAATATCTCCTCAAACAAATCGATGGAATATGCTCCAAATTCCTCTGGCAAAACTCGGCAACCAGATCTGGAAGAGCGAGAGTAGCATGGAACACAATTTTTCTGCCAAAGCGGGAAGGTGATTTAGGGTTAAAGAAACTAGAAGATTCAAACAAAGTTTTTCGGTTGAAGATGATTTGGAGTCTCTTTAAAGATGCTAGCTCACTTTGGGTGGCTTGGATCAAGAAAAATGTATTAAAGAGAGGATCCTTTTGGAACACAACACCTACCCCTAGAATGTCGTGGAATATCCGAAAGTTATTGAAGTTGAAAGAGCTGGCCACACAATACATCAAATGTCGGATCGGGAATGGAAACACGGCGTCCTTTTGGCACGATAGTTGGACTACCTTCGGACCTCTGCTCGAATATATTGGAAACAATGGGCCTAGACTACTCAGAATTTCCATTACCGGCAAAGTAAGTGCAGCAACATCAAGGGGAAATTGGTTCCTTCCTGGGGCTCGGTCCCAAAGGATTCAGGAACTCCAGATACGCTTGCTATCAATCTCGGTACCTGATCAGTCCGCTGGAGATGACAAGTATGAATGGAAAGTGGCAGAAAATGTGTACTCACATCAATTCTCAGCAGCAGCGACATGGAAGTTACTGTGTGAAACAACACCTCAAGTGCCTTGGGAGCGAATGGTATGGTTTAAACAAGCGATACCATGTTATGCATTTGTACATTGGATGGTTATGCAGGGAAGGCTGCCAACACGGGATCGATTGCGGCGTTGGAATGCAATACAGGACTCAACATGTGTCCTCTGTGCCGAAGAAGAAGAATCACATGCCCATCTCTTCTTCCGGTGCCCTTACGGTGTGGAGATCTGGCAGGGGATGGCGAGAAAGATTTGGAGCAGCCCACCAGGTGACCTAGCCATATGCAACTCTTGGTTAATGGAGTTCTCCAATCTGATGGCAGGAACCGAAAGATATTAATGCAGTGCCTCATTCAACACATCATCTACGAGATCTGGAAAGAGCGAAACTCACGTATATTCTCCAGCATTTCGATGGTTGTACAACCTCTGATGGTGCGTATCGATCGATCAATCTGAACTACCCTCCTGTCACTCAACATGCTCGAGAAAACCGAAGCAACACTCTGCTTCAGGATTGGTATTCACTTACGACTACGCGAGAGATATTAGACGAAGGATGAAATTGCTATAAAATTTTATCCTGACACAGGATTTTTAACGATAGCTTTTAATGTGGATTTGGATTCTGTATTATGTAACCCAATTTTGAAGAATACAAAACACATTATATACAAAAAAAAACATCAAATTCTATAAAATCTTCAACAACTGGCCCTCTGCTCTCGCTGTCATCTACTGGTTGGTCCAGCTTGATCGCTACCACCACCATTTATCTTCCAACTCCTCCTCCTTCCTCGAAGCCAACTCCATGAATTCCTACGCCGTCGACAGCTATCGCCACTACATTCGCGGCGAGGATTACTTAGAAAGTGATTTGGACGCTGAATTTCTGGGGAAGCTGGAGAGGGAGAAGAGCAGTGTGGCGGAGACCATCGCTGCTTCTGAGAAGTCTGCCACCGAGCTGGAGGCTAAATTGGAGGCTCTGAGGAAAGGCCCATCTCAGAAGGAGGCTTTAGAGAAAGTGAAGGCCGACCTGGAAGAGGATGCCAACAAGTTCGGCACCATCATCGGGGAATATACTGCTCGGAATTCGGAGATCGAGAGAGTTCTGGAAGAGAAACTCGAGGAACTAAATGTGAAGCAGGAGGAGAGACGACGGGTGTGCGAGGAGAGTGAAGAACTGAAGAAGAGGGTTGAGCTTCAAAGTTTCAATGCAAGAGACGCCGAGAGGATAAAAAGGGAGTTGCAAGCTGTAGATCGGGATATCGCCGAGGCCCGAGGTTGCCAGAGACGCTTGGGAACTCAACACCCAGATCCGGAATCAAATTCACGAGCTTCATACTCTTGCCATGGATTGCAACCAAGCTTTCAGTAGGTTAGTCCACCACTTGACATCTACTCTCTTGATTCATCTGTGAAAAAACATATATTGATATTATGGAAGAATTCATATGAGAGGGGGGGATGAAGTAGATATATTCACATTGTCCCCTTACCTTGACCATTGTACTCATATTTAGCACTGGTTTTTCTTGTGCGGTTGAGGACAGATTGAAGATGGACAGTCAGTACAATTTAAACGAGAAGGGGTCAACACACCTTCAGAGGTGATGGGCGCCGACTACAAATATATGGTGAAGCCTGCGTTGTTATCCTTTGCTGATGGGATAAACAAAAACTTCATGGGGAGACTGGAGGAGCTGATCACCCTTCAACATCAATCCTCTGAAATGGCTTCTAAGATCACAATCAAAGAGAGACCCTTCTTGGGTTGCTTCAGCGGCAGATTGATGAAGTAAGTTTGCATATATATATATATTAAACTCCCATTGTATCAGATGCCCTGGCCATTGGCTTTTGCTCACCTCTCAATCCATTCTGTTTCTGTAAATGCAAACTATGTCATCAATGATCCAACAAATGACATTCAAGCAACCTGGGTTTTACTCAACAGCCTGAGTTAGAAGATGGGCAGCTATGTTTTCCTGAATATGTTGGTTTGTTCCTGAGGCTTTATTGCAACGTTTTCATTTTCAGATTGAAGAGAAGATAAATGCAGTGAGAAAGGAAATACAAGACTTCTCTGCAAAATGTGATGCTGAGGCAAAAGTGATGGTAGAAACTATCCATCTGAACTGAGATTGCAAGAAGCAGTTCAACAAAGTGAGGAGGAGGTCCAAGCTTATGCTGCCCAACTCTATGCACTTATCGACTCGGTGTCCAAACAAAAAGAGTACATGGACATGCATATCTCAAAGATAAAAAATGGAGTTGCAGAGGTTGCTACAACTGTTTCAGATGTGTATAAAGGGAGCTTCAAGATGCACCTTGATGTTTAAACCGCTGAACCAACCAGAGGTAACATAAAGTTGCTCACTTTTTTTTTTATGGTTGAATCTCTTAGTGAGAGCATGCTTTCTTGGACTTACTACGATTGCGCAATTCACAGAACCCTTGCTTCGTTGCCTTTTCTATCCGATCAATATAAGAAAAAGATCTTTGCGTTATATCTAGTCTTAATAATTGAATCATTTAGATCCAGTGATGCGTGGAATCAGAACAAAAACATTCAAACCAGAGTGATATGCCCTCCCGTGTTTATGTCAGAGGCTGGAGGAAGAAGGCAGAGGAGGCAAGGGCAATAGGCGAGTATGGGATCGACAGTTGTTTTATTGGGTTGACGATGATGTTCTGCATTTTGGGTTGTCCATGATATTCTGCATTTTGGGTTAACGATAGTGTTCTGCATTTTGGGGCATGTATGGGATTGGCTGCTGCAGAAACGGTTTATACATACGGTAATTCAGCAGGTTTGTTGTTGCGGCTGTGTATATAAACGTTAGGATGGTGATAAGTACTACAGAGTGGTTAGGGGCAAAGGTACGCAGCTATTGTGGTGTTTGTTTGTTTGGGTAGATAGCATATAGGTGTTGACTTGTTTGGTTGTTTTGTTAGTTGTTTCGTTATGATTGGTAGTAGTTAGAGGATTCTGTTAGGAGAGGGAATCGTATAAAGAAAGGAGGAGGAGGTGGAAAGGGATTAGGTATTTTCTGGTTGAGAATTGGGTGGGGAAGAGAGTAGGGGCCTCTCTCTAATCAAACCTATCCGAAGTGTACCTGGTTTGAACATGTTCGAGCATCAGAACCTTAACAGATGGGCACGGGGGTTTTCATGTTTTGATTTTCGAGATTTCCTCCGGTGTGGGGAGAGTTGGGAGGCTCTCAGAGATCAACCTTTCCATCTTGTTTCTGGCTTTTGATGTCAATACATTAAGAGGTTACAACTTTGTTCTTTACAAAGAGCTATTAATTGGTCATCATTTTTGGTTAATGTATATAATACAGTTGTATATGAAAGAAGATGTGTTTTAGTTCTGTACCATTATTCTCAGACAACAAACAAGGTGGAAATGTCATGCTGCAAATTCGGTAACCAAACGGCTTTTGATGAAGTTGGGCTCGACATAACCAGCCGTTGTGCAAATCGGGTCGCCATCGTAAACCCAAGATTCGCCCTCCGGGGTCGATATGCTGTGACAGAAAGACAACAACTTTGCTGTCCACGTCTCGTCGCGATAATATCGCGTTGTCGTGGCCTGGACGTGCAAGCCAAGGAAGAGTCACTTTGTCCGTGCACTCGCACACCAGAATTGGATGCCGAAATCCCAATGGCTTCAGAACGTTCATGATTCTTGATACATACCTCCCCCAAGAAAAAACACCACCAACTCGGGTTTTTGTTACAATTGTTTCAAATGGTCGCCATTGTTTGATATTCAACACACTAAAGAGGTCCAAACATGGGGGAGAAGACTAAGCAGTGAAACTCAAGAACCCGACCAGTGCCTGAACTTGGAGATCCCACGACGGTTTTCAGAGAAAGAATCCCGGATCGACTGCACCATTTCCCGCACCACAGGAACTCCGTACAGATCTTTGTCTTGTTCCTGCAACATCCCTACACCATCAGGTGGAGTTTCCCTCTAATGCCCAAAAAAAAAACGAGTTCAGTAAAGAAGTACCGTCTTGGCCAGACGCTCCTCCATACCCAAAGAAACTGCATCACCGGATATGAATATTTTACGATATGCCCTTCTCAGGCTTCTGATCTGCCATTTCCACCCAAAAGATACAGATTCTTTTTTAAACACTTGAAAAATGATAACACGATCACTTTTACTTCTACAATACCTCTGAGATTGTGAATTCACTGCGTCGAAGTCCTTCCAGATTCAGACCCCGGATTTCTGCTCTTTCTCCGGTCACCATCATGTACTTTGGCACATCTTGTGAAACCTATAATTCAGACAACAAACTGGTTTCATTTCATGCCTGGAACTTTGTTTTCCGCTTTTTGATGCAGAAAACCCGACAGAGTTCCCGTTGTGTGAGGAAAGGCACATTGCAACTGAGAGCTCTGAGAAAGAACATACGACTGAACCACCGCCGATGAAAGAGAAAGAACCAATGTGGCAAAACTGGTGAACTACAGTGGCTCCTGCTGTGTGTGTATAGTCCTGCATCGATGTAACTTAGGCGATAAATTACATAGAAACAGATCCGAATAAAAACTATGCCATTAGTATTACTTCTACGATCACATGGCCTGCAAGAAGAGTATTGTTGGCAAATATGTTGTTGTCACCAATCTTGCAATCATGAGCAATATGGCAAGAACCCATTATTAGATTGTTATCACCAATGACCTGTTTCACAAAGAGACTGTAAGAACACACTTCATAAAGGCTAGAGATTTTGCTCATATCGGTCAATAACCAGCGCCAGACCGTTTTGTCGGTGGGCTTTGATGACCTGTGAATCGAGCAGAACTCTCTGATCTCGTTGTTATCACCGATGTGAAGAAAGAAATCATCCCCGGCCTAAAAAGAAATAGAAAGTGTAGACTCCTGATCAGTACACCGGCTTTTGAATTAGTCTCTACTCTCAAGCAGAGCATTCATAACACGGAATATGACAAGTCATCATTTTATGATTACCTTGTATTTCATGTCTTGGCATTTAACACCGACCACAGCATGGTGACCAATAACGTTGTTGCATCCTACAACGGTATACCCGGGAAGATCATCGTCACCAACAACAGCACCACTGGCTGACAAAAATCAAGGCATATACACACACGAGAACAGCAAAACGACGTTAAAAAACGAGAGGAAACACACCATATACCATATACCATGGAAGAAAACCGGTACGAGCGAAACCGGCTTACATCATAACAACGCAGGAATCCCCCAATTCTGTGTTCCCAAAGACGTGGCTAGAAGGATATAGTTTGCATCCATTGCCGAGCTTTGCCGAGGAACCAACAGTACAAAAGGGACCAACCGAAACGCCCTGACAGGAAACATCCATTCAACTGCTTTATTATATCTTAGACGAAGCAAAATGATGACTACCTACTCATAACCACAAGATTTTGAATAAAATCTAAACCAGATGAGCTTGAAGATTGCATCGAAACAGTCAAATTAATGCCACTGAAGTGTTGTTCATCATACCGAGACCTTGCACAGGGGGGATTATACTAAAGGACATTACTTTAGAAGGTTTTGCCAGTATAGATGATTAGAGAAGCAGCACATTTCAAAAGGGTATTTGAAGAACATCGGGACTGATCCAAAATCCAATGAGTTGATGGAAAAAGTTGGAATCTTTCACCAAACAGAAGAAGAAATCTGAGAGCCCCGAACTAATTTGCTAAAGCAAGAATGAACAATCAACAAACCTTCCCAATAACTGCATCTGGATGGACAATAGCTGTTGGGTGTATAGATCTTCCCACATCTTCAGTAATATCTGCTCAAAATTAACAAAGTTTTCGACTTTAAGAGCTCAGTCGATTCAGAGGAGAGAGAGAGAGAGAGAGAGAGAGAGAGAGAGAGAGAGATCTACTGGGCAGAGAAGAGGAGAGACGCCGAAGAGAGAGAGCTATGAAAGGAGACGGAAACCGCCGGCGAGGGGTCAGTCGAAGAATCATGGCCGACCAATGGATTGGGCAAATTGCTCAAATGCCCTCCTGGCGTCGCAACAATATCTACGGAGTGTAAAAAGGGCCGGCCCGGCCCAGTCCAGTCAGCTCGTCCCAATCCGAGAAAATTTGAGCCGAGCTCAGTCCAGTCCGTTTTTTAACGAGCTAAAAATAGATCAATCCAACCCAGATCGCCTTAGTCCGTGAGCCAAACGAACCGACCAGTTTACCAAATATATAATTTTAAAAATAAAATTTAAATACTACAAAATATTTTAAAATAATTTAAATATTTAAAAAATATTTAAAATATAATAAAAATATTTAAAATTTTGAACAAAATAAATTAAAAATATATAATAAAAATATAATTTGTATATAAAAATATTTTAAAATATATAAAACAATTTAAAAAGAAAACAAATTTGGCCCGCGAGCCAGTTCGGCTCGTGATGGGCTGGCTCGCCACGAGTCCGGCCTGTGATAGGTCGGATCCGAACCCATTTTACACCCCCAACTACTATATTGTACACCCAAAACTTAGATTATTTTGATTTATTTAGTTAAATAATATGTTTTTTGTTATAAATAAAATATATTTATAGTGGAACCAACCATTAATCCATTCAACTGCTTTATTATATCTTAGACGAAGCAAAATGATGACTACCTACTCATAACCACAAGATTTTGAATAAAATCTAAACCAGATGAGCTTGAAGATTGCATCGAAACAGTCAAATTAATGCCACTGAAGTGTTGTTCATCATACCGAGACCTTGCACAGGGGGGATTATACTAAAGGACATTACTTTAGAAGGTTTTGCCAGTATAGATGATTAGAGAAGCAGCACATTTCAAAAGGGTATTTGAAGAACATCGGGACTGATCCAAAATCCAATGAGTTGATGGAAAAAGTTGGAATCTTTCACCAAACAGAAGAAGAAATCTGAGAGCCCCGAACTAATTTGCTAAAGCAAGAATGAACAATCAACAAACCTTCCCAATAACTGCATCTGGATGGACAATAGCTGTTGGGTGTATAGATCTTCCCACATCTTCAGTAATATCTGCTCAAAATTAACAAAGTTTTCGACTTTAAGAGCTCAGTCGATTCAGAGGAGAGAGAGAGAGAGAGAGAGAGAGAGAGAGAGAGAGAGATCTACTGGGCAGAGAAGAGGAGAGACGCCGAAGAGAGAGAGCTATGAAAGGAGACGGAAACCGCCGGCGAGGGGTCAGTCGAAGAATCATGGCCGACCAATGGATTGGGCAAATTGCTCAAATGCCCTCCTGGCGTCGCAACAATATCTACGGAGTGTAAAAAGGGCCGGCCCGGCCCAGTCCAGTCAGCTCGTCCCAATCCGAGAAAATTTGAGCCGAGCTCAGTCCAGTCCGTTTTTTAACGAGCTAAAAATAGATCAATCCAACCCAGATCGCCTTAGTCCGTGAGCCAAACGAACCGACCAGTTTACCAAATATATAATTTTAAAAATAAAATTTAAATACTACAAAATATTTTAAAATAATTTAAATATTTAAAAAATATTTAAAATATAATAAAAATATTTAAAATTTTGAACAAAATAAATTAAAAATATATAATAAAAATATAATTTGTATATAAAAATATTTTAAAATATATAAAACAATTTAAAAAGAAAACAAATTTGGCCCGCGAGCCAGTTCGGCTCGTGATGGGCTGGCTCGCCACGAGTCCGGCCTGTGATAGGTCGGATCCGAACCCATTTTACACCCCTAACTACTATATTGTACACCCAAAACTTAGATTATTTTGATTTATTTAGTTAAATAATATGTTTTTTGTTATAAATAAAATATATTTATAGTGGAACCAACCATTACCGTTCATACCGACTTACTGTTCATATATACAGTACTGTTCACACCGACTGTATACATGAACAGTAACTTCGGAATTTCTATAAATAGGTCATTTGGGTTCCTCCATTTGTACACTTTCAAGAAAGAGAGTAATAAGAAATACATTCTTCTCTATTCTCCTTAAATACCGTTTTCGGTTATAGTTAACGATCTAATATCCGGATCGTTCATATTTTACCGATTTAATAACACGTTATCAGCATGAGCGGTCTTCCACAACTAAAGGTAAGATAACTTATCTTTAATACTAATATTTTCGTTCTTATGATATATATATATGTATTCATTGATGCTTGAATGGAATTAACCTCAAGCTATATATGAATACCGATATTCTTTATAATTAATTTATAGACGGCAATATCGCCTTAATTGTTAATATGGATGGCTATGCCGCCTTAAATATTTATTCGTTATTGGACGACTGTGCCGTCTTAATTATTAATTTGGACCACTTTGTCGCCTTAATTATTTATTTGTTATTCGACGGCTATGCCGCCTTACTTATTAATAGACTATTGTGTTTATTCTTTATGGATGACAATGCGGCCTAAATTATTTTACTTCTGCAGATGATAATACCGCCACATATAAACAGTTATATTACCTAATCTATATAAATTAATAAATATTCATCATGCAAAATATTATCATATATAATATAAATTTATTGATTGTCATTTATACGAAAAAATTTTTGAACTTAATTTAAAATTTAGAAATAAAGTTTTATAAATTCTTTCATATATCGGTAAATTAATTATAAATTACTAAAAGAGACTCGCGTGATGCACGGATTATTTTTTTATTGTTAATATAAAATGTTTACTTTTTCGTTATGAAAAATATTGATATGAATATAGTAAAAATTATATTACTAAATTATTATATATATATATATGAAAAAACAGAAAAAAATAAAAAAATTTAAATATCATTGCATTATTATATTATAAAATCGTTTGTATATTGAATAATTTTGTCAACATAAATTTATATATTTTTCATGATAAGATACATGTATAGTCAATGTAATTACACGTTTTACGTTATATCTCTTTATATCTTTTTTATTAACGCCATTAGAAATAATGATTTATAATTTTTTTAGTACAAAATTTTGAACATTTAGATAATATAGACATTTTTTTGCATCAATCAAATGTTATCATTTTATTTTTTAACTTATATTTGTTAATTGATATTACGAAAACCATGTATAGTAAATTATTGGCATGATTATTGGATAAGATGATTTTGTGTTGAATGAATAATGTTTGTCAAGATCTTGAAATCCAAGATATGAACACAACATTCTCTATAGACTTCTTCAGTAAAAAATATTACAATATCATATGTACGACTTCAACATTTCAGGCCATGAAGATCGATGATGGAGAGTTTTCGGATATAAAGTTTTAAAAAATAAGATTATTGTTTCCATTGAGTTTTCATATAGTCTTGTCATGGAGAGAGAGGAAATCAGATAACGGTAAATTCTCTAAATGGCAAACTTGATTTTCTTTAATAATTCTTAACACATAAAAATATTCTTGGTTTTGTAGTTTTCACATAGTCATTAATTTTTTTGAATTGTCACCTTACAAATACAATAATTAATGGTTTAAAATAAAAATTACTAATATAATATTATATCAACAAATTCATCGAATAGACAAAAAGAGTGAGGGATCTTATGACAAAAGACTATAGATTTACCGGTAGAAAAACCGTGAAACAAATTGATGCACATTCTTCCATATAAACATCATATAAAATATATATAAAAATATATTAATGAGATATAGTCTTTCGTATAGGTTGTTGTATGGATCAGTAGGTATTAATAACAAATCTACAGTCAGATTATCGTTTGAACTTATCCATACATTAGTTAAAAATGCAAAGGAACGGTTTTTCTTTGTTTAAACAAAATGTTATATACTTGACCACCGTTTTTAAATAATAATTGTTAATGAATATTTATTACCGTTTTTGTTTTGGGTAATATTTAGTCTTGGTTATATTTTTTGCTATATTTGTTTACTTTTAAAATTATAATATTTAATTGACATTATAATTTCTATTTATTCAAATAATAATTGTGGTATTATTTATTCATGCAAACATCTTGAAATCTTGTTTGTTAATCTTGTGGTCACTATAAAAAAACATATCTCATTCGTTTATTATTTATTTTATATTTGGGAGAATCGCCGTAAAATATATGTACATACACATATACACGTACACATATATATACACATGTACATATATACATATATATAAATATACACATCCACACATATGTATATATATGTGTATGTGTATATATATATATTTATTATTTATTTTATGATTTTTATTTATTTAATTAATTATTATGAATTAATTTATTATTTATTTATTTTTAATTTATTTTTTATTTAATTTCTGACGTGACGATGACATGACGCAATGATTAGGAGAGAAGTTGAGAATTTCGCCGCCACGTAAGATTTTCGTTTGTCTACGTGGCGGTTATTTGACGGTAGGTATTTTTTGGCCAATAATATAAAAGTATAGGATTTATTTGGAGAAAAACCAATTGTACAGGTATTATCCAGTAATTAAAAAAATACAGGTATTAAATTGAGACCAGGAAAAAGTACAGGTATTTTACGGCGATTCTCCATTTATATTTTTGTGTTTATTTCTTAAATATTTATATAAGAAACTTAATCCATTAGATCTTCGGTGAGTTTTTTATATTTTAGATGCATATAAATTCTTCTTTATAAATCTAAACAAAATATTATACTACCAAAATAAAATGATTACTAATGAAAATAATCATACAATATTAGTACAACTATATTGTTTTACTAAAATTAATAATCTTTTTATATATACCTTTTAGAGGTTTCCTACAAATGCATATCTCTATTTTATATGAGTAAACCATTGGTACCGAGTTTACATATTTAACTGAGGATAAGTTTTTCTTATACTCCTTTTTTTAAAAACGAAATTACTCTACTTAATGAAAATAACTTTCATTTTTTTTATTCGCTATTTTTTTATCATTACCTTAACATACCATATAAAATTTTCAATTAAAAAATATAAATATAATATATATAAAAGTATTTATAAAAATATTTATAAAAATTTAAAAGTATATAAAAAACATACATGCATATATATATGCAGCAGAAATAATGAGTATATGTTGGGTTTTCCTGTGATCTCAAGAGCGAATCTAATTCCTAGAGATCAGTTCTAGGGTTTGCGCAGCGGATGAAAAATAAAAATTTTGATGAAACCCTAAAACCTATCATGCATGATCTTGTAGAAACGTTAGAACGCTTACCTCAATCGATCCGGGACCTATATCAATCGAAGAACGCGTCTGATCACTGTAGGCAGGAAGAATATATTGCCCTCTACACATATCCATACGGCGGAAAGGATTCCAACGGTTGGAACTTGTCTGCTAGGACTGAAGAACGCTTTCTTCTTTACGCAAGGGTTTCAGGGATCTTTCTCTTAGCTTTCTCACTCTCCAAACCTCTCCCTAGGGTCTGAAAATCGTGCCAAAAGAGTTAGGAGGCGTTCCCATAAGTTTCACCCCTTTAAAACCCTAATTAGAGTGAGTTTAGTAAATCCCGACGTCTGGACCGATCGGTCTGGAGCTTTTTAATGTCTGGACCGAGTATCCACACGGCAGAAAGGATTCCAACGGTTGGAACTCGTCTGCTAGAACTGAAGAACACTTTCTTCTTTGCGCAAGGGTTTCAGGGATTTTTCTCTAGGTTTTTCCACTCTCAAAAACTCCCCAAAGGATCTGAAAGTCGTGCCAAGAGACTTGGGAGGCTCACCCTAAAGTTAATCCCAATTAAAACCCTAATTAGAGCGAGTTTAGGAAATCCCGACGTCTGAACCGATCGGTCTAGAGCAATTTTCGGACCGAGTGACTGTCACACGTTACCCCCGGACCGACCGGTCCACGTGTCTGGACCGGTCGGTCTGGGTTGGCTGGACCGATCGGTCTAGACCTCCTAGACTGGTCGGTCTGGCCTCTGCTCCACCGCGATTTTCTCGTCTCTTCTCGCGCATTCGTCCTTTCCTGTGTGTGTGACCCTGTAGGCTCATCTGATATAGTAGTATAACCCGAAATCTTTTATTTCGGTTACACAAGTCATAGGCGGTCTCTAGCAAGACACTATGACTACCGATCTCGAATAGTGTTTGTTCGTGATCCTACGAACGCCAGCGATGATTCCGTTTGATGATCCTTTTGTATCACGATATCATATGTCGAATATAAGGCATGGACAAGCCACCTTATCTGATTCGACTACTTTCTCGTTCACTGAGTTCGACTGTCTGAAATAGA